GAAACACCCAAGATGAGTCTGGAACATTTTGTAGTGCCAGAAAGTAGGGAGGTACTCAAAAAAAGAACACCCAAAATATACCCCACGTAGACAGGAGCATGTTTAAGGGCCCACGGGAGTTGACTAAGAACCCCCAAAGGTCAAAGCTGAACAAGTTGAGCAGCAAAAAAAAAAAAAAATGGTATTGGTTTATAACCCAAAGTATAAAAATATTGAGTTCATGCTGATGTAACCAAATGACTGAATAAATAAATAAAGCTGAAGAGACAAAGCTCGTATTAAGAAGCATTTCAAATAACTCATGTAGATACCCTGCCCTCAGCAATGGGGAGCATAACTCCTCAGTGCTTCACTATGGTTGCTCATGGGAAGGGTAGAGAGAAGAAAAAGGTGACAGTGGGAAACCTTAGCAAATACTGATCTCGGCCAGTGAGCAAGGCTGGCAATGCTGAGTCACATTGGTGGTGTGTGCTTTCATGGCGGTACAATGAGAATGGCACCTCACCTCGATCTTCTCCCTCCTAAAGGCCCATAATCATGTCCTAATCATGACAGAAATATCAGACAAATCCCAGTTGAGGCACGTCCCACAAAGTTGTCCTGAGAACTGTCAAGGCCATCTAATAAGAAAGTGTCTAAGGAGACAAGGTGACTGAACGTCATGTGCTACCCTGGGTGGGATCTGGACTGGAAACAAAGGAAATAGACTAACACATGGCCTTCAGTTAATACTAATGCACCAACACACTGACTCACTGTAACAAATGTACTATGCTAAGACATGTGAAGCCTGTATGCTATGTCTGCGAGTGTGGACATCAGAAAGAAGCTCAGCTTTTGAGAAGAGAACTTGCCCAGCTTCGTTGTAACCCAAGGCGTCCTGGTTTCCCAGTTTCCCTATTGGACCCTGGGTCCAGAGTCACACAGAAAGCCAAGATGAGAACCCTAAGAGCATCTCATGTTTTTCTCAGTTAACCCAGGATAAACCAAAGACGTTTACTTTATATTTATACCTCACTTAGTTCCACAGGTAGCTCTAAACATTTAAGTGCTGGTTTCTTTCTTTTTTTTTTTTTTAAGATTTATTATTTATGTATGCATACAAGAGCTGGGGTACAGACCAGAGATGCAGGTGGTGAGAGGATTCACCAGAGACAGAGTGGGGAACAGAACAGGCAGACTGACTGAAATACACTGCTGAGGGGAGCAGCCAGCGAGACAGGAGAGTTCTGCTATGCCATGTGGGTTGCTCCCTGGCCAGCTGGGGATTGAACTCATGCTTCAGAGGCTGTGGATTACTTCATAGTGCAATGCATAACCCCTTGTGCCACCAGGGAGGCCCAAGTTCTGGTTTCTTACAATATAGTAATCCCCTCATCTTCAGCCTGGGCTGTTGGGGCAGCTGTCCTGGGAGACAGAAGTGGCCCCTCCGCTCTGTCTAGGAGTGTTTCTGGATCTGGATCTGGATCTGGTATTTGGGCAGGGCTGACTGTGCCCTGAGTGGCACCAGGCAGCCACAACCACAGCCTCAGGTGATGCCTCCAGACCTCCCAGTTGGCTGCTTGAACGATACCTGTGTGACTTCATTTTGGTAGAATACTTAATCTAGCTTTCTGAATCTCACCCTGTCTCTCTTGTTGATATCTCTTAATTTCTCTATCCTCTTGAGTTGAATAATCCTTTTACAGCAATAATTAATTGTCAGGGGCCTAGCAGATATGAGTGATACCAAATCAAATTAAGTTGTATTATATTCACAGGAAAAGAGACTATTAAACCTATTTGGTCATCGTGCCTACCACCTCATTTATTAACTTCCTCTTATTCTAAGCGTTCCTCTCTGGGGACAGAGCTCAAAAACTGAGCTACCGGGCCATAGCCACCATCCGCAGCATTGCAAGCCCGTGAGGCTATGCTCTGTCACGACCGCTGCATCAGTGGGTATGCGTGGCTGAATGCATGAGCCTCTACCAGCTCCTCCACATTCACAGACGCCATGAAACCAAAAGGATCCTGTCACAAGTGCATCCAGATAACAGAGGTGGCAGGGCGTTCTCCTGGCTGAGGCTCCTTAGTCCCTTCTGTCACCCCCTCAACCCCCCAACACAGGAAAGGGTTAAATGGCACACCATCCTCCCAGTCAGAATTTAGGAGAATTCAGTTCCTTTAGCAAAACTTGTTTTTCTACCCCCTAAAATAATTCAGAGGAAATATGTGCCTCTCCCCATTTATTTTTTAAGTTAACTCCAGAAATTATTTATCAAGGTTTAGGCAGCTGAAAATGATGTGATTTCTGATATATTATGTAGTGTTAGCTTTATTTAAATGTTTTTGTCAAGATATTGGCTCTGCAGATGAGCTTATTACATTTATAGGCAAGATTCACTGTATAATCTAATTGGCAAATAGAGTCTTTATAGTCAAATATTCCAGCCAAATCAGTCTTCTCTCTGTCAGATCCAGTCTGATTTCATTTTTTTCAGTTTAGCTAAACTTATTAGTACACACCTCATGGCAACTTCTGGATGTGAATTCTTAGGTCTGAGGATAGACAGTAAGGGCGCACAGCCTTGCCCAGCGGTCACTGCCTGGATGAAATTAGAGACTGTCGCCTTATTATTTTCCCCTGCTCTCAGAGGATTCCCTTTGGAAGTGAGGCTTTCGGATATTGTCCCATGGGAAGGTTGAGGAGGGTAAGAGGTGTGTACATCTTTTCTAAAGTGGGAATAGGTTGATCATGACAGTGGCTGTTGCTGAGATCGAGCCTGGAGACCACAGGCATGTCTTGGAAGATCAGATTTAAGAAAGAGGATACATGGAAATTAAAGATCTGAACATTTCCTTTATTTTTTTTTTATTTTTTTTTAATTTTCTAGAGGCATGTCTTATTTATTAATTTATTTGTTTGTTTGTTTGGTTTATACATGCACTGGGTACAGTCAGAAGCGCGGGAGGGTGAGAGAATTCACCAGAGCCAGAGCGGGGAGCAGAGCAGGCAGAAGGACCGAAGTACACTGCTGAGGGGAGCAGCGGGCGGCAGGAGAGGTCTGCGCACCATGTGGGACCCTCCTCCGGTGGCCGGGGAGCAGCCAGGGATCGAACCGGTGCCACAGAGGCCGCAGGCAGCTTCACAACCCAGCGCTCAACCGGTGCGCCACCGGGGAGGCCCCTGAACATTTCCTTTAAATGACCTTTGCCCTGTCATCCCCTGAAATAGGTCGATGGATCCCAGTCTTAAAAGCCTGCTGTCTGTAGACACAGCAGCTCTCTCAAACTAAATCAGACTGGACTGAGGCACTTAACTAGACTTCCCTAGATATTTGTCCTCACCCTGTTTGTGGGGGCTGACTTTTCCAGAAGAGGAGTCAGAACCGTGGAACTCAGTCTAATACCTGCATTTCACTAGATCTGGAGTTGTCATAAAAATAAAACCTTCTCAGGGCCTCCCTGGTGGTGCAAGGGGTTGGGACGCAACCTATGAGGCTATCTGCAGCCACTGCAGCACGAGTTCGATCCCCAGCCAGGGAGCTAATCGCATGGCACAGCAGACCTCTCCTGTCTCGCCCACCTATCCCCTCAGCAGTGTATTTCAGTAGATCTGCCTGTTCTGCTCCCCACTCTGTCTCTGGTGAATCCTCTCACCCCCCCCCCCACACACACACCTCTGGCCTGTAGCCCCATTCTTGTATGCATAAATAAATAAATCTTTAAAAAATAAAAATTAAAAAAAAATAAAAACCTCTCCCTGCAAGTAAGGATGGACACTGTTGATCTCCAAATGTCCAGAGGGCACATGGGGGATAGGATGTTTTGGAGTGTAATGTTTCAGGTGCCAGAACCAGGGACATTGAGAGGCTGTTAGGAGAAGGCAGGATAAGAAGAACAGTGACTTGAGCAGGGAGCCAACATTTTTAATTGTTTATGTTGCATAAAATACATAATTTTCACAATAGCCCTGTAGGTAAATAGTATTACCATGAGGAAGCTGAGACTCAGAGAGGTTAAGTAACTCAATCGAGGTACAATAGTGCATTAGTGCCAGAGAAGGAATTTGAGCCTAGCATAGCCTCCTGACTCCAAAGTCATCATGTAGGGCCTCCCCGGTGGCGCAGGCGGTTGAGCACCACATTGTGAAGCTGTTCGCAGACTCTGCAGCTGGCCGGCAAGGGTCCCACATAGTGCGCAAACCTCTCCTGTCTCACCCACTGCTCCCCTCAGCAGTGTATTTCGTCAGTCTGCCTGTTCTGCTCCCTGCTCTGTCTCTGGTGAATCCTCTCACCCTCCCGCACATCTGGCCTGTACCCCTGTTCTTGTATAAATAAATAAATAAATCTTTAAAAAAAGTCATCATGTAATGCTGCCTCTCTCATTGGCACATACCTACAATGGAATGGCTGTCTAACACCCTTCAAGGAAACAATAACAAGGAAAATACATTAAAAAGAATTTCAGAAACCTCTGAGTACTACTCTACAAATCAGACTTTCTGAGTTCCCCCCCAAACTAGCTCCACAAGTCTTATAGGAAAAGAACCTGGCAGCTCTGAAAGAACTTTATTGATAATCGCATTATTATACCCAGTTTGGGGGGGTGGGTGGTGTTGACCTTTTAGTAACTGTGATGAAAATTATGTTCTCTCTCAGACAAAGGAACACACAGACGCAATTTTGTATGTAATTTCAGTAGGTTCATGAACCCATTAAACTATGCACTTCAAGCAAGAATGATAGAGAGTGCAGATACCATGCTAGACCTCTCATATGGAAGGGAAATCAAGAACAATACAAGCTTGCTTTGGACAGAACACCAAGCGGGACAATATGGCGCCACTCGCCACTATGCTTTGACTCTGGCAAGCCGCTTTCATAAAAGATCTTTTGTTCCCCTTGGGATAGATGCCACCAAAAACTGCCCCCTCCACACCCCAGCCTTTCTTAACATGCACCCTCCATCCCACAACTGCACAACAGGCAGAAAAATTGAATGGAAATGGGCAGCATTTTTGGATAATGACAGCTGCTGAACTAGTTCTTTCGGCTCCTGGAGTGCACTTGCCTTAATTTCAGGTTCCATGTTTGATGTTTTTCCCCTCAGCAGAAGTTGTACGAGTCAGATGATATTTTCCCTTAAAGTCTTTCCCAAATGGATGTCAAAGAGCATGGATTTTATATAGACATAAATAATTCCTTCTGCAAAGAAAATGTGGAGTTTATAGCTGGGCGCTGACGCACTCCAGGCCTCTCCTCCTCCCTGGCTCCTGCCCCCCGGAAGAAGGAGCTCTTATCTCACTTCCAGGCATCCAAGCCTGACAAATTCAGACTTTTATTCAGCCAAAACGAATCCTTAAATTTTAAGGATACAGACCTTACGATGTGACCAAGGATTTTCTCTCTCAGAGCTTCACTTTCTTCTTGTGGTAAATGGAGATTATGGTAATATTATTCTTCCCTACATTTTAGGGCTGTTGTGAGGAATCATAAAAAGAATGAGTGGGGAGCACTTAGCTCGGTGCCCCTGGAGCACAGGAAGCACTTGACCAAGTTGGATTTATTAATTTAAGGACCCTCTAGAAGTGGATGAGGGGAAACTAGACAAGTTGGCTCCTTTGCTTTCTGGGTGTGCTCTCTCCTGCCCCCCTCTTTCTGGCTCTGCCTTGTAGCCCCAGTTCCTGTGTTTGCAATGTCCTCTCCTAGGACTAGGCCAGAAGGGTCTAACCCTGGACCCTGCGGTCCCCGTCATGCCTCTGTCTGTGGCCACTGAAATCTCACTGACACATCACCCTGTCAAGGGCAGTGATGATGGGCTATTTCTTTCTGTCTTCTCTTCCCTCACTCCCTTGTTAAAGCAATTTATTACTAATACTAGGTAAACAATAGTTAATAAAATAAAATATTGCTACTCTTTTATCCACTAGTTGGTGGTAGGGGGAGAGAAGGGGAGAGTAAATAGGAAACAAATAATTTATAGGATGTTGAAAGAAGTAAAATGGCAATGAAAATAAGCAAGAATTCTACTTAGACTGCCCTTTGAGCCCAGCAACTGTCCTCTGTGGCATGAATTCAAACCTTGGCTTTATTCCAAGTGAGCAGTGCCACTGGGACCACAGAATGATCACTTCTCTTTGTGTTTCTCTCCCAACAATAGATGTCTGGAGGCTTAGAGGAAGTCATACATACTTCTGATTTTTGCCAGCAATTCATTTTATCAACTAAGCTAAAAAAAAAAAAATGCTATGACCCTCCCCTGCTCTTTTAATTAGTTACTCACTACCTATCCCAGGCACTGTGCATTTCATGTATCATCTTATCTAGTCCTCCAGTAACCCAAGAAAGTGGGCTTTATTGTCATCATTATCCCCGTAGTCAAAGACATAAGAGCGTGCCTGCGCCCGAGGCCAGCCTAGGATGCCGCCCTTCCTGCTATGTCTTAACTCACCTGCTTCTCCTTCCTTTGTAGCAGTGCCAGTGACACACACGTGAAGGCTCGCATCCCTGGTGGAAAAGCACCTCTTCCCCACGTGTGTATGTGATGGCATGTCTGATAGCATCTGGTGTCTGTGAAAGCTGCCCGGCAACAAAGAACTTCACTGGCTGCGCCCCCAGACCCACCACAGGCACAAGCTCCTCAAGGGATGGCCCCTCTGGGCTTATTGACTGTGCTTCTCATTCCCTTGTGTGGTAGGTGAGGAGACAGCTCCCTTGACCAACCAGGAGTGATTACGAAGGGTGCCTTGGCACATTCCCCCATGGCTACTGTGGGCTTTCTCAGGAAAGCTACCCACTGTAACTGCAGACCCACACAGTACCACTTCATGAGGAAGGATCCAGAATCATCTTGACGGGTGGTCTGAAGTTGTTTCCCTACCTGGTAGTAGGGAAAAGGTATGTAAAAAATGAGGCCAAAATAGAATCAAATCAATCCATGTAGCAAGTCTCTAAAAGTCCAGGTAGACATTTGTGAAAATGTGAGTTCATGCATTCAGATGGATGATTTGAAAATGGGGTTAGAGAAAGAGTTAAAAGTAAGAAATATATGGAGCTATTTTTAGTACATGAGGCTATCCAGGACGTCAGATTCATAATTCAGTGCAGTGGAAATGAAAAAATGATTGAAGAGGTAGAAAGGAAATGACCTTAAAAAAAAAGAGAGAGAGGGCCAAAGAGATCTGATGAGGAGTTGAAATCAGTATTTCTGAACTCAAATTGCCTGAGTTTCCAAAATAGTCACTGGAGAATCTGACAGAACCTGAATTATTTGGGTGAATCCTGCAGGTTTTATAAGTTTTGTCACAACCTAAAAGACTGGAATGTCTATTACCAAATAGGAATTTTCATTGTGGATTTTTCTCCCCCTTCCCCAGCTTAGCCTCATGTAGTTTAAGTGCATTCTGGTCTGTGTGGTGCAGAGTCCAGCTCCCCCTCCAGGCAGATCGGCCCTGCATGGACTCTGGGTGAAACCCCTCTAGCCATGGCACCTCCCCCACCCCCTTCTCCCCTTCCCGCAGACCCCCAGGTGTGGGGGTCCAGGTGACCCCCACAGGTGCCTCTCTCCTCCAGAGCAGCCCGGGCAGACACACCCTTGGGCTGACTTTTGGCTTCTCCCCACTGCCAGAACACATTTCCTTTCAACCAAGTTTTTACCCCCCGACTAGGCAATGATGTGCCGGAAGAACACAAGCCTGCGAACTGAAAAACCTGCATCTCCTGAGGCATCAGTTTTACTTAAGTGCTTTGGAGCCAGGGATGACATTTTTATATAAAACAAACATAGTTATGTTATGAACTAGATGTTCATACACATAAACAGTTAAGATAAAATGGGAGACTTCACAGGTAATTCGTATTTGCAAATGGGATACGTGTTCCTTCTGCTCTGCCTCTAGTGGCGTTTTGGGTTCACTTCTGAGTACAGTGGAACTGCACCCAACAGCCTGGGGGCTGCTGCTCACTAGCTCACTAAGGACCTAGATTTCTAGTGCTTCTGAGGCCAAAACAAGGGAGCCCACTACCGGGTGATCCCTCCCCATCTGCCTACCCGGGATCTCAGTGCCTATGCAGAGCAGGGGGCAGCTGATTGGCGAGCAAGCGCGCAGGATGATTCTGAGGCAGAAGCACGCTTGTTGCAGGAGTGCCGTGTGCCATGAAATGACTGTTCCTCTGTGGGCAGGAAGCTGCAGGCCCGTCACGCTTCTTGGTTAGGGCTACCCTAGCTCACTAAATTGCCAGGATATTGGGGCTAAGTTTGGACTGGTTTTTTTTTATTATTATTATTATTTTCTCTCAAACTGGTGGCCAGCAACTGGTAAAGATAATGCTGTTTTGCTATCTACCTGCAGAAACCAGAGTATTTTGCATTCCACTAATTACAGCTCTAACCATATCCAACACAACTACCCTTGAAGGAGGACCAGCTTCTTTAAAAAGTCAAAAAATCAGAAGATGAAGTGGATTTTAGGGTCTGGAGGCTTTGTTATCTTTCCTCCGAAATAATTGTTTAATCTCCTTATCTTAGCTGAGGGCAGATCAGCGGCCCCTGTATACCCAACTAGGTATTATTCCTTTAAATCAGTATTTGGGAAACCCAAGCATTTATGCGGTGGATATGATTAGAAATAAAAGATACATGCCAGCTTATCTCCATAAATTATCATATCTGTGTAATCCTCATGGAAAGCACTTTTGCTTTTACTTGGAAAGGATTTCAGATTTGCTTTATGGGCTCCCGCTGTCTTCAGCACCTGATGAAACTTTAACCAGGGAAGCATTAAACACAGCACAGCAGCTCTGCCCAGGCTCTTGAGTTCCTGCTGGCAGCATTTATCAACGTGCGAACTAGGATGCTTCCTGCAGTGGCACCGGCTCCCCTCAAAGCTAGCGCATGCTGCTTGGCCTGAAGCCCCAACATGACGAGTCTCCCCGCTCCTGCCAGGCCAGTAAAAGTTGGCATGTTCAAAATTGTGTCCTGACTGGCGGCAGGGTTTGCAGAAATCTCTAGGGAGAAGTCATCCAGGGAGACAGGTAATGAATGTCTCCAGAATGAATTAGGTCCTCACAGCAATTCCTGGCTGCCTTCCAAATGATGGGTATCTGGACACTGAGAGGTGGTTTGTTCTTTGATTTGATGTCATTAAATTCAGGACACTTCCAAGAAGTGCGTTGAGTCTCGGTCTGACAGCCCAGGATGGGACAGGATCTCAACTGGGGTCCAGCTAGGAGCGAGTCTCTGTGTGCTGTAGGCCCCCATTTCTCGGATGAAAAATGAATTTGTAGTGAAAGAGTCACTCACCTTGTGTTACACAGCTAGGAAAGTAGAACCAGCTCTCCCTAATTCTGGGGACCATGGAACACCTAAAATACAGAAAGAAATGAAGGCCTCAGCCACCGCCTGCAGTGTGACCGTCCCAGTTTTTCAGCATGGTATTTTGTGGCTGTAGTTTGGATGCAGAAACGGCATTGAGACAGCCTCATTCTCCTTCTTTGGTGGGATCATTAAGTAAGTTAATTCCAGCCTGCTCCAGGAGTTAGGGGAACCTTCCCTCTTTCATGCCAACCCCCATACATAATGTTTCTAGACCTTCGAGAGTGTAGAACTTCTCAGTAATAGCAAAAGTGAAGGACGTTCTGCTCTCAGACTTTTGAAAATGCCTGCTGCTGCAGGAAAGGGATTCATGGTGCAGTAAACCAGCCACTTCCGTGCTCTTCAGAATGTGTGGACCCAAGCCCTGGCCCATCTAGACCCTCCTGCGCGTACCCAACATGTGTGTGTTTATTCTTATTAACATGCATGTATATGTAGATACATACACGCATACATCACGGAATAATAGAAATTCAAAGCAGCCCCCCATCGCATGGCACGCCATTTAGCGCCGAGGCTTCTGCCAGCCCTGATTACAGGCGTCACCAGATAATTGGAATTTAGGTGCTTGCTTTCGAGATATTCACAAGAAGAACAACTCCTTAGCCAAGGTTGTCAGCTCCTGACACCCCGAGGAAGCTACGCTCAGCCCAACCCCAGGATGTCTGATGACTTGGGAAACTCGGAAACCAAACCTGAGGGCACCGCTGCAGGATCCACCACCTACAGTAGTGGCAGCACCTAGGAAGTAAGTGCTGCCCACCTATAAAATATTTTCTGCCATACCTGAAATGCCACACTTATATAAAGATTGTTCCATACAAGCTTTTTTGAGAAGAAAGTCATTTGCATACTTACTCAAGGCCTCCACATCCATAATTTTCTGTAATAAAAAAAACCAGGTCTCCTTATGGGTCTTTCCAGCCCAGCTGTAAGGGAAAAGACCCATAGGGCAGATAGAGATCTCATTAACATTGCCTTTGCCCATCAGTGTCTCTGAAGCCCTCACCCATTGCAAGAGCCCTAAGCCCTGGCAGTTCCTCCCTCCCGGGGCAGGTAAAACAGGGCCATTTGGAACTGAAACACACTGGGACCAGCAGAACAGGATCAGAGCAGGAAAATGAAAATAACTGAAGGTACTTGTGGGTATACTGGCACCAAAAAAAAAGCGACAGAATCCATGCTGGGCTTGATAGGACCTTGAGGGGACAGTAGATTTATACTTGACGTGAGTTAAACTTGACCAGTCTCTCTGCAGTAACCGGCTGCACTGCGTGGGTGGGAGAGGACGAAGGAATCATGTCCTCTGCCTGTTTTCCCCTGTACGGTCACATTCCTCCCTTAGTCATCTTCCCCTTTCACCCTTTACGTTAAACAAGGGAACACTCAATCTTTCAAGGGAATTACATGTTTGAGTTAATGTTTCAGTATATCATTTTCATACTGTAAATTATTTTGTAAGAAAGATTTACCGCTACCCCAGGATGTTTGGACTCAGCGCCCCGGTGCATTTGGAAATCAATAAACTATTACTGGAAATACCATTTGTCTCTCAGAGTCGTGCACAAAGGGCCTTGCTAGGTGTAAATATTCATGATGATCTGAGTTCTTGACTGTGGGGGTGCTGGAGGTGATTATCAGATGTGGGCGTCTCACTCCTGACTTCCCTGGAGTGGCTTCAGGGAGCTCTGGAAAGTGAAAAAGGACATACCGAGTCGTCATTATTCACAGATAAGTTTTCTCCTCAAAACAATCCATGGCTCGATGAAATTTTCTGAGCAAAGAATACTTGATCATAAATGTTGTTTTCAAACATTCAAGCTTTACAATTTACATTAACCAGAGGGAGAGTCAGATTTTAATTTCTATAATGTTTCTAGCAAAAAAAAAAGTTTCAGAACAAATTACAGTTAGATCAGCAAAGTCATCTAGGTGGAACCTTAGAGCTCTATGTTTGACATAATTTGCTATGATTGGTGATGAGAGAGAATTAAGTTGTGAGTGAAGCAATTCCTGCCCAGTTTGTACTATTTGAGCCAGGACATTGAAACCAAGAGCCAGACACTCGGGAACCAGCTGTGAAACACAAGGTGGACGGTACTGTGCAAATTAGTGCCCAAAGACACTAAAATTCAGCTTTCAAAAATCCATTCTAAAACTCACCAACAGGGGTGTCTGAAGGGTCTGTAGTTTATGAGCCCGCTCTAAATTTCCTTTTGACAGACTTGTCTCTCTCAGTCCCCTTTAGTTAGCTGGGGACTGTGTGAACATTGGAGAAATTTTCCAAGGTAAGGAGACAAGTCAGATACTTGCGGTCACCCAAGGAGCCGGACTGGTGAAGCCAAGACAGCAGACTCGCTGTCTCCTGCCGCGATCATTTGCCTCCTTCCTCTCTCCCCAGTTGCCAAGGACACTTCTTGGTGGGATGAGATTGCCAAGCATGGTGGCGCTTGGGAGTCTCAGTGTTTTAACAAACCACAATGTGTTTGGAGGTTTGTTTCCCCCACTTCCTGGTGCCAGATGTCAGCACCACAGCCCACTGTTCTTTCTCCTTTGATTGGCTTTCCCTGTGAAAGCTACAAATCTTTATTTTGTTTCATTGATCTTTGCTTGGTCCAACTCACAGGTGACTCCATTTCCTTTATACTCATAAAGGGTGAAATTGCAGCTTGCCTGGATTCTTAATTCTCTGCTGACCTGGTACACTCAGCGGAAAGTCAGGCTGCCAGTCTTACTAAGAGAAGATGTCACAGAAAAGAAAATAAAAGCTGAGGGTGCTTGAAGTCAATAACTTCATGGAGTCATTGGAGCCCCTAGGCATGGATCCCCTTAGAAAACACCGTGACTGGGGCTCACTGGTGGCACAAGGGGTTAAGCACAGCACTATGAAGCTATCTGCAGCCTCTGCAGCACAAGCTCAATCCCCGGCCAGCCAAGGAGCTACCCACATGGCGCAGCAGACCTCTGTTGATTTGCCCGCTGCTCCCTTCAGCAGTGTATTTCGTCAGTCTGCCTGTTCTGTTCCCCACTCTGTCTCTAGTGAATCCGCTCACCCTCCACACTTCTGGCCTATACCCCAGTTCTTGTATGCATAAATAAATAAATCTTTTAAAAAAGAAAACATTGTGATCTCAGATTTAAGGCATCCCCTTTGTGAGCTGAGATGGCTAGCATTTGAGTGAGTGCTTTCTCTGGGCCAAGCACTGTCCTAGTGGCTTTTTATCTCATTCTTACAGCACCAATATCATTTCCCATTTTATTGCTCAGGAATTGGATTTAGAGAGTTAAACACTCTGCTCAAGGTCACACCCTAATAAACAGTAAGCCAGGATTTAAACCAAGTCGAGCAGACTTCACAACCCCTGTTCTTAATCCCGCCTCTCCTAGCTGCACCGATTCTACCTTATGTTGGTAAGTAAGTAAGATCACTGCTCTTCCCCACACACACATGGTGTGACCTCAGACAGAGGACATTAACCCTTTCTTTTATACCTTTTTACAGTGTGCCAAGCAGCACACAGTGAGGGCAGGAGGGCTAAGGAGAGCAGTGAAATCCTCTTCTGACCTGAAACTACATTTTTGGAAGAAGGAACAACTACACTTGCTTCATCTCCTTTATTCCAAGGCCATAAATAATGAAGTCACCGACAGAGGCAAAGCCATGGCTTCATCTGCCATGATCTTAGAATCCCGAAAGTCAGCCAGGTCTGACACCGAGTCTGTAATGTAATTAAACATCTTGAAGCCATCTCCAATAGCTTCATGTGAAGCCAGTTTCATATTCTTGGAAAGGGACTACAGGAAGAACTCATCTCTTTTATACTTCACTTACTGAATATACTAGCTTTTGCCTTATAAAAATGGCCTATGATGTTCACACCATCTTAGGGATTCAGTAACAACTCTCTTAGCCTTGGGCGCAGCCATCCATCAGCTTCACCTATCCGCCCCTGAATGTGAAATCCAAACAAATGGTCTGACAGTGAACAATTGAGACAGAGCTGGAAATATCTGGAACCTCTCCTGGAGCCACTCAAAAATGACCGAGAACTAGGACATAAGCCAGTAAGGCTTCCAATAGTTGAAACAAATACTATGAAGCCAACACATAAGAGAAAGGTCATGTATCTACCCATCAAGCACTTACTCAAAATCTATTTAGTCCTACTTGACACACTATTCTAAATGTTTGATGTCTGATTTCCAAGCCTCCTGCAGATTAAATTTATGGTTGAGAAACGGACTTCTAGAGTAAATTTAGGACATGTAGGAAGAAGAGATGGTAGTAATAAACACCAAAAAAAAAAAAAAATAGTGTACACTGAGGAGCTTAAAAAACGTTGTCAGGCATTTAATGCCAAAAACATCTCTATATCTCTATGTATCCTGACAGCCAGAATATATCATAGGACAATATTTTCGTAGTCAATATGCTGACTCTGAGCATCTAAACTCAGAAGATGGCAAGAAATTGAATGTAAAGCATTTTAGAAATATCATGAATGACAAAAACAAAAGATTACCTGTTAGGGGTTAAAAGGAACAAACCTTTGATTATCCAGAACATTAACAGAACATCCCCCTGCCTGTGGCTTTATTATTCTGTGTGCCTCTTGTATTTGTAGGGTTTTTTTTTTCCATAACTTTCTAAGTGACTTTCATGCTACAGTGCTTTGCATATAATGTCATGAACAATGGAAGCGCCAAGTTTCCAATGTGATGAATAAAACTAATAGCCAGAATGCAGGTCAAATTCTGCTACAACAAATTCTACTATTATAAAATCACTTAAGCCTCTGTTATCTCTAAGCCTCTGTCTATTGCCCATTTATTTCAAGCAACAGTCATTACAACGAAATTGAGTATAATAAAAAGAAACTGGACCCTCACTCCAATGGGTGTGACACAATTTAACCTGCAATAACAGATTCTCACTTGTGTTTCTGTAGCTCTTTTTCTGCAAGGACAATAAAGCTTATGTAGTCATAATACCAGCCTAGAAAGCTGGTGCTTAGTAATTGTTGCTAGGAGAAGAAAGAATTCAGAAGCAAAGGACACACAGAGCGTGTGGCGATCCTCCCTGGGGAATCTGGTCTCCAGGGCCACTTTTGACCTTAGCCCATGATGGAGTCATCAACCCAAGAATTGCTTGCTTGTAGTAGTGATGTCATACATATATGAAGCCTGAGAATGAAGTCATGATTTATTTCCCATGGATCACTGAGCACTTTGTGGCAACCTGCCCCTGTTGTGATGGACCCAAGATAAAGAAATCCAGAACCATGTGACTGCAACTAATCCTCCTCCCATGATGCATTGCTTTTAACATTGTAAAAGCACATGCCACATTGATTATCTATAGAAATGATCTCAGTTAATCACCTGCATTCCACTTGGTACGCAGGTGAAGATTTCTTTATGCCTCTTTCTGGTGGTGGTAATGAGTTTTGTTTGCTACAACTTCCTCTTTCCTTCCCTGCTCCCTCCCTTCCCCTTCCTTACTGCCTACCCTTCTCTCTTCATCTCTCTCTCTTTTTCCTCCCTTCTCTGTTAAATAGCAGCCAAAAGGATTAAATCATAATTCACTTCTGAACTGTACAATCAGCAATAGGAAAAGGAGGGAGGAGGAACAGAGAAATTGTCCACTTTTCCCGATGATAATGCCTGGCTCAGATCCCAGTTTCGCATCATGCTCTGAAGACGTTCATGCATTCTGGCCATTGCTCAGTTTGAGGCAGGCAGTAACCCTTCAGGGTGAGTGAGTGGTCTGGGGAAGCCTTGCCATCACAGAACATGCTCACCTCTGCTTGCTTTCTCGCACAAGCCATGGTGTGTTAAACACGTGCATGCCCTGGGCCGGGAGGTCAGGTTCAGAAGGGCTTGACTGCTTTCCTTGGCTCGTGAGAACACTGAGTCCAAGCGTGGTTCTCTGGCTGGAAGGTGGTCCAGAGGACTTCTCATCATTTTTATTAAGACATCTGGAGACTACAGGTGTTCCTTGGAAGGGTCTTTTCTGTATTTGGTGTCTCTCCCCGCATTTGGACTTCTGGAACCATTTGGATGCAGTCGAATGGCTGTATCCTACTATCAAATTCAGCGCAGTCCAGGTGGGAATAGCTGATCTAAGGAGCAAGATTGTTCTTTGGCTTAGTGGTGGAGGTGGGGGTGGGGGAGGTGGGATGGTTGTAGGTGGAGATGATGATGAAGAACCCACCAATAACAATAAACATGGCATTTCTCAACATCCATACCAGCTCCCCATTTACTAAGGGAGGATTCTGATCTATTCTCCCCAAACTCCTACTGTCCTAGAAGATCCTGGCCTGTCTGATCACACAAGGCTTTCCTTCTGAGCTCATACCTCGCCCACTTGTGGCCAAACTGTTCTTGCCTGTTAATTTACTCAAAGCTCATTTGTCTGTGAACCTCTTCTCCCGCCTCTGGCACAAGGACAAGGTGTGGAGAAAGAATTGAGTCACGTGGGATCCTCTGTTGTGTATGGTTAAGTGGTGTAAAGAAGCCAAGATTACTAGAAGGGTCTGTCTTTCGCCATTTGTAAGATGGTAAAAAAATCCATCTGGAGTATTTATACCCCTCCCGATTGCCAAGCACGGGCTTTTCATTTATATTGTGCTACTGAGGTCACTTGCTGCCCTCGGAAAAGACAATTTCACAATGACTTACTTCC